AGTCAGTTCGTTATCAGACTTCCGCTGCATAAATGCTCATCCTATATTGGTTGATCTTTGGTTCTGCCCATACTCATTGAAGTATGTAACAGAGACCCTCCCCACTCTGCACCCTCTTTGATCCCGGCCCTCCTTCCCCTTTTTTTTTTCGATCTTCAATCGGCGGCACTTCCTGTTGGCTCGGATGGTTCTTACTGATGAACGCGGTTTCGCTCCCCTTTCTTCCTCTAGAGCCACAAGCGGCCCGTGCTGGATTGTGGCGAACGGCTGAGGTGACAAGGCAGGTAGACCCTGTGGAAGCGGTCTCCTGCAACCTAATCCGGTGAAACCCCCTTCGACCCCAACCCTTCAAGTCATAGTTGCTTCCTCCGTTGGTGACTGTTGCCGTACAATCCTATCCGGAATTGAGTTGTGCCAGTCCTTCCAGCTCACCCGGTCTTCCCGGATCTCGGCCACCTTACCGCTAATCAGCCAGTTCCTGCTAAATTTCGATCTCACTTTCTTTCGCTGCTCTTCGTCCTCGGGCCATTTCAGCTTGATTCTCCTCCATCTGCACAATATCTCTGCTTGGATAATCGACTTGKACTCTTTCCATACCTTGTCCCTTGGATTTGATAGTCCTTCAATTGATCTGCTACATCTCTCCTTCCAGATCACCCATAGGGTCACCTTCCTGATGAGTTCAAACCAATYCGATTCCGCCCTCCRAGTCATCRTGGGKATGTTAGTGAGGAGGAGTAGTTGGATGGGTTGTTCAGGGRAAGGGGAAGAGAAGAGGGAGTCCCACAGGGAAGAGGCTCTCRCCCAGTAATCTGTCRCSTCCACACAGTGCACCAAGCAGTGAACTATGTCCTCTACCGCTCCTGCCGAGCAGACTGTACATATCTCCRAGCTATCCRGATTAGTAGCTTTACGCCTAGTGTGCAGCCATTGGTTCACTGGTAAGGCAGCATACGCTATCAACCACTGCAGACTTCTGATCTTAACTGGTCTGATCTGTGCATATTGTTTCCATGGGATCTGTTGAATTTTGTCGGCTTCCTGCCCCACCAGCTTTCGCCATCTGTTTAAGATAATGGGATCTGGGTCTTTGGTCTTCAGTAGTAGTCCATACCCAAATTTAACGGTATAATCTTGAACTGGAGTTTTCGTCTTGACACTCCGATTGCTGCCTGAGGTCCATGCCCACC